TTTCATACACTGTTGCTGGTATTTTGGCCCATTCCTCCATGCAGATCTCCTCTAGAGCAGTGATGTTTTGGGGCTGTCGCTGGGCAACACGGACTTTCAACTCCCTCCAAAGATTTTCTATGGGGTTGAGATCTGGAGACTGGCTAGGCCACTCCAGGACCTTGAAATGCTTCTTACGAAGCCACTCCTTCGTTGCCCGGGCGGTGTGTTTGGGATCATTGTCATGCTGAAAGACCCAGCCACGTTTCATCTTCAATGCCCTTGCTGATGGAAGGAGGTTTTCACTCAAAATCTCACGATACATGGCCCCATTCATTCTTTCCTTTACACGGATCAGTCGTCCTGGTCCCTTTGCAGAAAAACAGCCCCAAAGCATGATGTTTCCACCCCCATGCTTCACAGTAGGTATGGTGTTCTTTGGATGCAACTCAGCATTCTTTGTCCTCCAAACACGACGAGTTGAGTTTTTACCAAAAAGTTCTATTTTGGTTTCATCTGACCATATGACATTCTCCCAATCCTCTTCTGGATCATCCAAATGCACTCTAGCAAACTTCAGACGGGCCTGGACATGTACTGGCTTAAGCAGGGGGACAGGTCTTGCACTGCAGGATTTGAGTCCCTGGCGGCGTAGTATGTTACTGATGGTAGGCTTTGCTACTTTGGTCCCAGCTCTCTGCAGGTCATTCACTAGGTCCCCCCGTGTGGTTCTGGGATTTTTGCTCACCATTCTTGTGATCATTTTGACCCCACGGGGTGAGATCTTGCGTGGAGCCCCAGATTGAGGGAGATTATCAGTGGTCTTGTATGTCTTCCATTTCCTAATAATTGCTCCCACAGTTGATTTCTTCAAACCAAGCTGCTTACCTATTGCAGATTCAGTCTTCCCAGACTGGTGCAGGTCTACAATTTTGTTTCTGGTGTCCTTTGACAGCTCTTTGGTCTTGGCCATAGTGGAGTTTGGAGTGTGACTGTTTGAGGTTGTGGACAGTTGTCTTTTATGCTGATAACAAGTTCAAACAGGTGCCATTAATACAGGTAACGAGTGGAGGACAGAGGAGCCTCTTAACCCTCCCGTTGTCCTAGGGTCAAAATGACCCGCCACTGTGTTGAACCAACTTTATTTAATTTTTATATTTTTTGGATCATTTGTGAGAAGGAGGCAGTGATACTTTCTTTAAAGTCTCACTGCCTCCTTCTCACAAATGATCCCAAAAATATAAAAAATAAATAAAGTTGGTTCAACACAGTGGCGGGTCATTTTGACCCTAGGACAACGGGAGGGTTAAAGAAGAAGTTACAGGTCTGTGAGAGCCAGAAATCTTGCTTGTTTGTAGGTGACCAAATACTTATTTTCCACCATAATTTGCAAATAAATTCATAAAAAATCCTACAATGTGATTTTCTGGAGAATTTTTTTCTTCAGTTTGTCTGTCATAGTTGACGTGTACCTATGATGAAAATGACAGGCCTCTCTCATCTTTTTAAGTGGGAGAACTTGCACAATTGGTGGCTGACTAAATACTTTTTTCCCCCACTGTAGGTATGATTATGTGTATGTTGATAAGATGGACATGGTCAGTGTTGAGCAACCAGTGTTGTGTTGTGCAGATGATGCTGTCCACAGGCACCAGGGTCTCCTGAGGGAGCTGCAGGAGCTGGCCCAGAAGGGTCAGTCTGACTATGGTTATTAACTAATACTTTACTAGTGAAGTACCCAGGGACGGACTGGGATCAGAAATTGGTCTGGGTATTTCTAACACACCTGTACATTTTTCCCTTGAAAATCATTTTGCGCAAAACACCCAATTTAGACAAACCCACAGGGCTACAAATGGACCAGCCCATCTGGCATTTGACAGTCCATCCCTGGAAGTAGCCCTGCCTATGGCATCATCACCACAGTAATATGGAATATCAAAACATACTGACTTATTAAGAGAAGCAGTCTAATTGTTGCAATATCATTGCTGTGCTATGTTGGTTTTAGAGTCAGGTAATTATACATGTAAATCACATGTAAATCAAGATAAATTCTTCATAAACATGTTTTGTTGAACTTGCTTTAAATTGTACAGTAACTAACTACAGTTGAAGTCAGAAGTTTACATACACTTAGGTTGGAGTCATTAAAACTCGTTTTTCAACCACTCCACACATTTCTTGTTAACAAACTATAGTTTTGACAAGTCGGTTAGGACATCTACTTTGTGACACAAGTAATTTTTCTAACAATTGTTTACAGACAGATTATTTCACTTATAATTCACTGTATCACAATTCCAGTGGGTCAGAAGTTTACATACACTAAGTTGACTGTGCCTTTAAACAGCTTGGAAAATTCCAGAAAATTATGTCATGGCTTTAGAAGCTTCTGATAGGCTAATTGACATCATTTGAGTCAATTGGACGTGTGCCTGTGGATGTATCTCAAGGCCTACCTTCAAACTCAGTGCCTCTTTGCTTGACATCATGGGAAAATCTAAAGAAATCAGCCAAGACCTCAGAAAAAACATTGCAGATCTCCACAAGTCTGGTTCATCCTTGGGAGCAATTTCCAAATGCCTGAAGGTACCACCTTCATCTGTACAAACAATAGTACGCAATTATAAACACCATGGGACCACGCAGCCATCATACTTCTCAGGAAGGAGTCGCGTTCTGTCTCCTAGGGATGAATGTACTTTGGTGCAAAAAGTGCAAATCAATCCCAGAACAACAGCAAAGGAACTTGTGAAGATGCTGGAGGAAACAGGTACAAAAGTATCTATATCCACAGTAAAACTAGTCCTATATCGACATAACCTGAAAGGCCGCTCAGTAAGGAAGAAGCCACTGCTCCAAAACCACCATAAAAAAGCCAGACTACGGTTTGCAACTGCACATGGGGACAAAGATCGTACTTTTTGGAGAAATGTCCTCTGGTCTGATGAAACAAAAATAGAACTGTTTGGCCATAATGACCATCGTTAAGTTTGGAGGAAAAAGGGGGACGCTTGCAAGCTAAAGAACACCATCCCAACCGTAAAGCACGGGGGTGGCAGCATCATGCTGTGGGGGTGCTTTGCTGCAGGAGGGACTGGTGCACACAAAATAGATGGCATCATGAGGAAGGATAATTATGTGGATATATTGAAGCAACAGCTCAAGACATCAGTTAGGAAGTTAAAGCTTGGCCGCAAATGGGTCTTCCAAATCGACAATGACCCCAAGCATACTTACAAAGTTGTGGCAAAATGGCTTAAGGACAACAAAGTCAAGGTATTGGAGTGGCCATCACAAAGCCCTGACCTCAATCCTATAGAACATTTGTGGCCAGAACTGAAAAAGTGTGTGCGAGCAAGGAGACCTACAAACCTGACTCAGTTACACCAGCTCTGTCAGGAGGAATGGGCCAAAACTCACCCAACTTATTGTGGGAAGCTTGTGGAAGGCTACCCGAAACGTTTGACCCAAGTTAAACAATTTAAAGGCAATGCTGCCAAATACTAATTGAGTGTATGTAAACTTCTGACCCACTGGGAATGTGATGAAATAAATAAAATCTGAAATAAATCATTCTCTCTACTATTATTCTGACATTTCACATTCTTAAAATAAAGTGGTGATCCTAACTGACCCAAGACAGGGAATTTTTACTAGGATTAAATGTCAGGAATTGTGAAAAACTGAGTTTAAATGTATTTGGCTGAGGTGTATGTAAACTTCCGACTTCAACTGTACCTCAATTTATTTTATTCTTACAGAGAGCGAAAGAGAGAGAGAGTATGGGAAGGAGAAAGAGCGATATGAGGAGAACCAGGCTGAGGGAGAGAGGGACCGAGAGGGGAGGGAGGGGGAGCGGAATGATGACCAGAAGGAGACTGAGGAAGAAGAACTTAGAAAGAAAGAGACGAAGGCAGAAGAGGTAGAGGAGGAGGAGAAAGTGGAGATGAAGGACAGAATGAATGAGGAGATGAGGGAAGAGCCCAGACTGGAGGAGGAAAGGGGGGATGAGGAAGAGCGCACCAAAGAGCTGGAGGAGCTCCTCGCGAAGGAGATAAGGAAGATAGGAAAGGAAGAAAAAGAGGACAGGGAGCTTGAGGAGCTGAAGAAGAAAAGGTACGAGTCGGTGAAGGAGAAAAGGTACGAGTTGGTGAAGGAGAAAAGGTACGAGTCGGTGAATGAGAAAGAGCTCCAGAGAGGGTCAGAAGCGGAGGAGGAGAGGAAGAAGGATGAGGAGGAGCAGAAAAATGGAGAGAGAGAGCGGCTAGACATTTTTGAGAACGAAGAGAGGAAACGCAGCGAGGAGAGGAAGAACAACGAGGTGGAGCTGCTGGTGGAGAAAGAGAAGGTGGAGCGGGAGCTCAAGGAGCTGCTGGAGGAACAGGACAGCAAGAAGAACGTGGAGAAAGAGAAAGAGAGGGAGGAAAAGCAGGAGGAACTGGAGGAGCTCCTCAAAAAGATGAAACGCGTGCAAGAGGAAGAGGAGCAAGAAGAGGAGGAGAGGAAGAGCGAGAATACCGGGGATGAGGCGAAAGTGGACAAAGAGAGCGAGAAGGAGGGAGCGATTCGCAAGGAATTGGAGAAGGTGAAAGAGGGAGAGAGTGAGGAGGTTAAGGAGCCTCAGCAGAAGAGAGTGATGGAGAAAGCGAGTGATGAGTCGACCCGTCAGTTTGAAAAGGAGAGGAACAGGGATGATGATGATGACGATGATGAAGAAGCAGATGAGGAAGATGAGGATGAAAACAATGAGGATTGGGAAGAGGAAGAGGAAGAGGAAGAGGAAGAGGAGGATGAGGACAAAAAGGAGGATGTTGAGGAGGATGAAGGAGAGGTAAGTGGGCGAGAGTCAACATGATTTAGCACGACTGAGCTTGTAAAGTTGATATTGTAATTGCTAATTGACTATGTCTCTTTCTGTGTGTGTGTGTGTGTGTGTGTGTGTGTGTGTGTGTGTGTGTGTGTGTGCGCGCACCTAACACACGGTCTGACCTGTTCTGTGTGCCTACAGGAGCTTCTGGAGATTGAGGCAGAGCTGCGAAAAGTAGCTGCAGAGCTTCGGGAGCTTCACAGGGGTCGTTAAGTTCTAAATTACACACACACACACACACACACACACACACACACACACACACACACACACACACACACACACACACACACACAACACAACACAAGACAGACAGATAACGACACAGTGCAGCTCTCTCTCTCTCATGCTATCACACACAGAAACACACAACTAACATACTTAGTAACATGGTATAATCATAGTGCTTTTGATGGGATGTACTTCTGTAAGTAGTTGCATTTTAGTACAAACATACATGTACACTTTTCCCCATCCCCTAACTCTCATAATGCATTCAGAGATTACAAGCTCTTTAGATGTCAGTCTTTCTGTGTGCTGCCATTATCAGAGATTGTTTAGTCGGCAAGATGTACAACCTTGCCCATGTAAAGCTATAGTTAGTCTACATCTCATGATACAAGGTGGGGAAAAGCTCTCCTTTACGATATGTTTCGTGTATATATTTTGTGCAATAATTAAAAATCTATGTGTGAGATTTGTTACGGTCATTGAGACTTTTAATGTCAGCAATGAATCACAGTTATTTATAATATTGACATTTTGATTTCTATGATTGATTTCCATGTGTATGTCAACAAAATGTGAGGATTGTGCTATCTGGCTAATGCACTGTTAATATCAGACTGTTAATGAAGAACTGAGGTGACACTCAGGGAGAATCTCAATTGCGAACTCCTCACGTCCTCTCGCCTCGCCTTCTTCTCAAAACCCATTGGAGGAGAAGACCAGAGGGGAAGGACGTTTGGCTTTCTCATCCAATGGGTTTTGAGAAGGAGATGAGGAGCGAGGACGTGAGGAATATTCAATTGAGATCTTCCCTCAGAAAGAGAAGGCGTGTGACCACGGAAACCTCTTTAGTATTGATGTATGTCGTAGTATTTGCTATGCTATAACATAACAGGGGTCATAACATAATGATATATAATAATAATGTTATATAATAAGATGAGCATGATTGTTCCTTTAGTTCTTTTTGTTTGTAGTTTGGGTCACCCAGGTGGTCAAGAGTCATAGAAATAGAATGAATGGGAATGTCTGTTCTAGTAATTATATTTCTATGGCCAGGGTGGCACCCCAGCTCTTCTCCCAGCTTTGCACTCTTATCTTAACCAGCCAAGGAAGTCTAAAGAGGGGAGCGACAACACTAAGCCATTTCTAGTATTTGGTCATAATAAACAATAACTGTTCTAAAACTTTTTTTAAATTTGGGAAGATATTGATATTCATCGTCATCCTTTTTCATAGTTTGTGATCTCCACTGTTATGCAGCCATGTTTGAATAAGAAATATTAGGAAACAGTGCCCCCACATGTTAAATCAATATAAGTGCATTATGTGCTACACAGCTGCATGGTTAATAACATAGGTGGAGGAACAGCAATAACTGCAGTACAAGAATAATAATAATAATAATAACAAGTCAGCTAATTAAAACATATAAAGCTATACAAATGTACATATTAAAGCCAAATTATGATGATTTTCTGTAAATGTACTTTATTATGTAATTAAAATGCATCATAAATAGACTTTTAAATATAAACACTCCTTTTCTATCTAACATTGATTTACAATTATAAACAGGGTGGTTCGAGCCCTGAATGCTGATTGGCTGACAGCCGTGGTATATCAGACCATATACTATGGGTATGACAAGACATTTATTTTTATTGCTCAAATTTAGTTGGTAACCAGTTTATAATAGCAAAAAGGCACCTCGGGGGTTTGTGGTATATGGCCAATATACCACGATTAAGGGCTGTATTCAGGCACTCCGCGTTACGTCGTGCATAAGAACAGCCCTTATCCGTGGTATATTGGCCACATACCACACCCCCTCGGGCCTTATTGCTTAATTATATAACACTGGTAACTGTTGGGGCGGCAGGTAGCTTAGTGGTTAAGTGCGTTTTGCCAGTAACCAAAGGTTGCTGGTTCTAATCCCCGAGCCGACTAGGTGAAAAATCTGTCGATGTGCCCTTGAGCAAGGCACTTAACCCTAATTGCTCCTGTAAGTCGCTCTGGATAAGAGCGTCTGCAAAAAAAGGACAAAAAAATATATATAATGTTGGGACTCATATAAAACTCATCAACACCATGTAAGAAGTCAAACAGGCTACTCACTATGAGTTGTGAGATTTACTCAAGAATGTATACCATTTCAACATTTAGAAATGTATTTAACCAGCAAAGGGTTGTGGATTGTACGTGGAATGTAAAGGACAAATTAGTAGAAGTCAACCTTTATCATTGTACTGGCCCAATCAGAGTCTTGTATCTGTACCTACTGCGTCTTACATGCTACATGTCAATCAATAAAAGCACAGTGTATAATATCTCTCAATCATTGTTACTTCTATAATAGTAGTGGTTGGTTGTCTTCATTGACTGATCACAGTCTCTGTCTATTCATACAAAATCCTGACACCTATGTGTCTGCAAGGAGAGGTGTCTCAGACCCAGATTATAAGATGTATTTAAAGGCAACTATCGTCAATTAGGTCTCCTACTTCCAGGGGCTTATTGGATGTATCAGAGAGGATGAGCCAGGTCAGGGTCAAGGGTCAACGTTGAACCCACATCAGAGTTCAGAGTTCAGCCTGGGGGGCTGAAGGAGCAAGAGGACATGTTGCCTGTGGGACTTCCAGTCCCCGGTGGTCCAATACTGACTCAATGTGACTGAGGAGGGAGGAGAAGAACTGAGGCACTCCCTCATATCCTGGAAGAGGGGGACGCAAAGATAGGGTTGATGAGAGATAGAGAGAGAGAACATGAAATTGAGTAAGAGTGAGCAAGAGTGAAAGTGTAACTTGGAAGCAAATACAGCAGTATAAAGTGACTTTCATGGCTGTAAGTCACTCTGTATAAGAGATTTTTATTTTTTATTTTACCTTTATTTAACCAGGTAAGCCAGTTGAGAACAAGTTCTCATTTACAACTGCGACCTGGCCAAGATAAAGCAGAGCAGTGCGATAAAAACAACAACACAGAGTTACATATGGGGTAAACAAAACATAAAGTCAAAAATACAACAGAAAATATATATACAGTGTGTGCGAATGTAGTAAATTATGGATTAACACTGGAATGACAGATGTGCAAAAGATGATATGCAAACAGAGATACTGGGGTGCAAATTAACAAAATAAATAACAATATGGGGGATGGGCTAATTACAGATGGGCTGTGTACAGATGCAGTGTGTAAGCTGTTCTGACAACTGACGCCTAAAGTTAGTGAGGGAGATAAGAGTCTCCAGCTTCACAGATTTTTGCAGTTCGTTCCAGTCATTGGCAGCAGAGAACTGGAAGGAATGGCGGCCAAAGGAGGTGTTGGCTTTGGGGATGACCAGTGAGACATACCTGCTGGAGCGCAGACTACGGGTGGGTGTTGCTATGGTGACCAGTGAGCTAAGATAAGACGGGGATTTGCCTAGCAGTGATTTACAGATGACCTGGAGCCAGTGGGTTTGGCGACGAATATGTAGTGAGGGCCAGCCAACAAGAGCGTACAGGTCACAATGGTGGGTAGTACACTGCTCAAAAAAATTAAGGGAACACTAAAATAACACATCCTAGATCTGAATGAATGAAATAATCTTATTAAATACTTTTTTCTTTACATAGTTGAATGTGTTGACAACAAAATCACACAAAAATTATCAGTGGAAATCAAATGTATCAACCCATGGAGGTCTGGATTTGGAGTCACCCTCAAAATTAAAGTGGAAAACCACACTACAGGCTGATCCAACTTTGATGTAATGTCCTTAAAACAAGTCAAAAATCCTGAGGGATCTCCTCCCAGACCTGGACTAAAGCATCCGCCAACTCCTGGACAGTCTGTGGTGCAACGTGGCGTTGGTGGATGGAGCGAGACATGATGTCTCAGATGTGCTCAATTGGATTCAGGTCTGGGGAACGGGCGGGCCAGTCCATAGCATCAATTCCTTCCTCTTGCAGGAACTGCTGACACACTCCAGCCACATGAGGTCTAGCATTGTCTTGCATTAGGAGGAACCCAGGGCCAACCGCACCAGCATATGGTCTCACAAGGGGTCTGAGGATCTCATCTCGGTACCTAATGGCAGTCAGGCTACCTCTGGTGAGCACATGGAGGGCTGTGCGGCCCCCCAAAGAAATGCCACCCCACACCATGACTGACCCACCGCCAAACCGGTCATGCTGGAGGATGTTGCAGGCAGCAGAACGTTCTCCACGGCGTCTCCAGACTCTGTCACGTCTGTCACATGTGCTCAGTGTGAATCTGCTTTCATCTGTGAAGAGCACAGGGTGCCAGTGGCGAATTTGCCAATCTTGGTGTTCTCTGGCAAATGCCAAACGTCCTGCACAGTGTTGGGCTGTTAGCACAACCCCCACCTGTGGACGTCGGGCCCTCATACCACCCTCATGGAGTCTATTTCTGACCGTTTGAGCAGACACATGCACATTTGTGGTCTGCTGGAGGTCATTTTGCAGGGCTCTGGCAGTGCTCCTCCTGCTCCTGCATTTATTGTCAATCAGTGTTGCTTCCTAAGTGGACAGTTTGATTTCACAGAAGTGTGATTGACTTGGAGTTACATTGTGTTGTTTAAGTGTTCCCTTTTTTTTTTGAGCAGTGTATATGGGGCTTTGGTGACAAAACGGATGGCACTGTGATAGACTACATCCAATTTGCTGAGTAGAGTGTTGGAGGCTATTTTGTAAATGACATCGCCGAAGTCAAGGATCGGTGGGATAGTCAGTTTTACGAGGGCATGTTTGGCAGCATGAGTGAAGGAGGCTTTGTTGCGAAATAGGAAGCCGATTCTAGATCTAACTTTTGATTGGAGATGCTTAATGTGAGTCTGGAAGGAGAGTTTACAGTCTAACCAGACACCTAGGTATTTGTAGTTGTCCACATACTCTAGGTCAGACCCGCCGAGAGTAGTGAGTCTAGTCGGGTGGGCGGGTGCAAGCAGCGTTCGGTTGAAGAGCATGCATTTAGTTTTACTAGTGTTTAAGATCAGTTGGAGGCTACGGAAGGAGTGTTGTATGGCATTGAAGCTTGTTTGGAGTTTTGTTAACACAGTATCCAATGAAGGGCCAGATGTATACAAAATGGTGTCGTCCGCATAGAGGTGGATCCGAGCGTCACCAGCAGCAAGAGCAACATCATTGATATACACAGAGAATAGAGTCGGTCCAAGAATTGAACCCTGTGTCACCCCCATAGAGACTGCCAGAGGTCCAGACAACAGGCCCTCCGATTTGACACATTGAACTCTATCTGAGAAGTAGTTGGTGAACCAGGCGAGGCAGTCATTTGAGAAACCAAGGCATGGGCAAGTTGCAGCAGAGGGTGCAGAGCTGGTGGCCGGGGTAGTGGTAGCCAGGTGGAAAGCATGGCCAGCCGTAGCAAAATGCTTGTTGAAATTCTCGATTATTGTAGATTTATCGGTGGTGACAGTGTTTCCTAGCCTCAGTGCAGTGGGCAGTTGGGAGGAGGTGCTCTTATTCTCCATGAACTTTACAGTGTCCCAAAACTTTTTGGAGTTAGTGCTACAGGATGCAAATTTCTGTTTGAAAAAGCTAGCCTTTGCTTTCCTAACTGATTGTGTATATTGGTTCCTGACTTCCCTGAAAAGTAGCATATCGCGGGGGCTGTTCGATGCTAATGCAGTAGGCCACAGGATGTTTTTGTGCTGGTCAAGGGCAGTCAAGTCTGAGGAGAACCAGGGGCTATATCTGTTCTTAGTTCTGAATTTTTTGAATGGGGCATGCTTATTTAAGATTGAGAGGAAAGCACTTTTATAGAACAACCAGGCATCCTCTACTGACGGAATGAGGTCAATATCCATCCAGGATACCCGGGCCAGGTCAATTAGAAAGGCCTGCTCGCTAAAGTGTTTTAGGGAGCGTTTGACAGTAATGAGGGGTGGTCGTTTGACCGCAGACCCATTACAACGCAGGCAATAAGGCAGTGATCGCTGAGATCCTGGTTGAAGACAGCGGAGGTGTATTTAGAGGGTACATTTGTCAGGATGATATCTATGAGGGTGCCCATGTTTACAGATTTTGGGTTGTACCTGGTAGGTTCGTTGATAATTTGTGTGAGATTGAGGGCATCTAGTTCAGATTGTAGGTTGGCCGGGGTGTTACAGTTTTTCTCGATTGCTAAGACACATTTCTTGAAAGCTGCTCTCCTTTTCTCTTAACTGTGAACACAAAACCCAATTTTCAAGCTACATTCACAAAACCTCAGACTCTTCTTGCAAAACCAAACTTTCACCTCAAAACAGTTCAATCTGTGCTCAAAACTGAACTATGTTGTCAAATCGTGCCCCGAGTCAATCAAAATAAAAAACACTACTGAACAGTCACTAAACACTACGTAGAAAAATAGAAAACACAATGCTCAGGACATAAATGTTTATTGTTCACTGTAGGCTAAATGCATGTTGCAAAACAAAAAAAACCTGTGCATTTAGCACTTGTACAAAAAGACAAAACAGAAATCTTGTGCATTTACATGTAGCACTTGTAAAAACAAACAAAAATCTTATGCGTTTGCCACTTGTGTACAGTAAGCCCATGTAAAAATAAAGTACAAAAATATACAAATAAGTGCATTACTCAGCCGCAGCATCATGTCTCCGTACTGGGTCAGGCCACAGGACTTCATCCACATCACAGGCCACATTTTGTCTGGCCAGGCAACGGGGGAAAAAACCCCTGGCATGCCGTATGCAGGCTTGGCATGCCTCCACACCTATGTCACCACAGGCAAGTCCCATGGCTTGCAGGAGATTTACCCTGGTGTAAGGTTGGCGTTCATATACCATCCACCGCCATGAGGAGAAGAATTCCTCAATGGGGTTTAGGAAAGGGGAGTACGGTGGAAGGCAAAGATTGATAAAACCTTGGTTCATATTGTACCACTCTCTAACCTGGAGGGCTCTGTGAAAACTCACATTGTCCCAAACAACAACATAGATGGGATGCTCATCCTGCTGCCCTAACAAAGCATCTCGCATGTGATTGAGGAAAATGAGGAGCTGGTGAGTGTTGTAGGGCCCCAGGTTGGCATGATGGTGGACAACCCCATGATTGCTGATGGCAGCACATAATGTGACATTGCCACCACGCTGCCCAGGAACACCAACAATGGCCCGATGGCCAATCACATTACGGCCTCTCCTTCTCCTTTTGGTGAGATTAAACCCAGCTTCATCCATGTAGATGTATTGATGGGGTCTTTCCATTGCATCCAGTTGAAAAACCCTCTGTAGAAATAGATATAGTTTTGTAAGTGATACGGAAAAAGTGATTTAGGCCACTACAGTAAATCACTACTTAGAGTAATCAACATTGAATGTGTCTGGATATATACCAACCTGTACATACTGGAATCTTTGCTCTTTGACTCTGTCTGAGTTGCGATCAAAGGGCACTCTGTATAGCTGTTTCATGCGCAGTCTGTTGCGCTTGAGGACACGATCAACAGTAGAGAGGCTGACACTGTTGATACCCTCAAAATTTAAATGGTCCTCAATGATCTTCTGCTGAATTTCGCTCAGTTTAATGGCATTGTTCTCACGGACCATATCAACAATTAGGGTCTCTTGGTGTGGGGAGAACATACCTGTCCTCCCACCCCCATGTGGCAGTCTTTCAATTCTACAAAAAGAGAACATGGAGTTACAAAAAATATACATGGAATACTAGGCCTACAAACAGTTAGACCAACCCTCCATTACAATACTACAGTACATTGGTACAGTGATGTACTGAAACATATATTTACTTACAGTATACTGTGGTACAGTATATAGTATGTCATACAGTAATTGCTGTCAACATTTACATACTGTACTATAATGTCAAAAAAAGGTAATTACCTGTTCTCTTCTCTAAATCTTCGGATTATGGTGGACACAGTGAATCTACTGATGTTTGGTTGTACCCTTTGTCCAGCCTCCCTCATGCTCATACCATGGACAAGAACATGGTCAATCACAGTAGCTCTGATTTCATCAGATATTACTGTTCTTTGTTTTCGCTGACCACCTCGACCACCTCGACCTCCTCTCACACGAACTCTTCCTCTCAGATTTCTATCCATTGTAGGGCCTCACAAACCAGTGCTCTCTGAACTGGCTTACTGGATATGTTCCCTCACATCATTAGCCACAAGTGTGATCAATTTTGAGTTGTTGTGTTCAAGTGGTGACACCTGTGCTCTAATTGTGTTTGACTTTTGTCACCTGTGCTCACCATTATGCAGCACGGGTGCATCACAATGAAAATGTGTTTGCAAGTTATGTCTAAACAGGTGAAAAGTGCTTATGGTTTTGCCAAAAGAGTGATTGATTCAATCAGTGGGTTCAGGCAACTGAGCATTTGGTTCAGACAATAGGGTTTAGTGTTTTAGCAATTGAGAAAAACTGTAAGCATATCCCAGTTTAGGTCACCAAGCAGTATCCTAGCTCAGCACTACTACTTTGAGACGCATTATGAATACGGGCCGTGGATAGCACAATACCTATTGCAGACAGTGGGTCAAGTAGAACAGGGTAAAACAGATTGAATTAGTTTGTACAGGAATCAGTGCCAGTTAATCAAATTGAACAGAGTTGATTGTCAGAGTGGAGGTCGTACTAACTGCAGTGAGGTGGGAGCAGGACTCTGGCTTGGACACCTTGTGGCTGTTGAAAAAGATTGTCTTCCTCTCTGGAGTCACAAAACACACCATAGACATTAGGAAGAAGTTTTATTGCAACAGATGATTAAAAACAGTATAAGCATGCATGAGAATGAGAGAGAGAGAGAGAGAGAGAGAGAGAGAGAGAGAGAGAGAGAGAGAGAGAGAGAGAGAGAGAGAGAGAGAGAGAGAGAGAGAGAGAGAGAGAGAGAGAGAGAGAGAGATGGAGAAGAAGAGGGAGAAGAGGTGAGGGTGTGTCCACACTGACCATGGGGTCCGTGTTTACCATACCTAGAGAGAGAGATCACAGTGTCAACAAAGCAGCAATACACTGAGCCACACAAAAAGGCAGAAAATAGTAACAAATAAATGGGAAAATATGCAAAAAGACTGTGAGCAATAGAAAGACAAACAGTCTCTTACCTCATGGGAGCGGGATCCATGAGCCACCCTGGTTTTACAGACTAAGAGGAAGAGGAATAGTGAGGTGTGAGGAGACACAACACACGATCTTATGGGACAGATTCCCAGTCACAGGTTAAGCCTAGTCCTAGACTAAAAAGCACTTTCAATGGACAATCTCCATTGAACATGCTTCTTATTCCAAGACTAGGCTAAATCTGTGTCCGGGAAATCGGCCGTAAATGTCTTATAAATTAGATAAAAGGAGTTTGCCAAAAACTGAATCACCATTGCCTGGTGTGAAGGCTCTGTATACAATAAGATTAATTAGCTGTATGTTTATGTGTTTGGTTGTAGACAGTCCCTCACTGACTCAGAGGGAAGCTGAGGCCCTTGCTCTCCACGTCCTCCTGGATGACTGACAGGTCACTGGTGGTGATCTCCAGGTAGGGAGGGCTGCTGATTCGCCAGTCTACAGGGGGGAGGGATCAGGAAGAGCATAAGACAGAGGAGAGAGAGAGCTTGGCTTGGCAGATGTCTAGAAGAGGGACAGTGAGGCTACTGTACTGTATCTCTCAGGGAGTTCTGGTGCTGGTTCATAATCCGATAGGAGGCAAAGCGATCCAGTAGCTGGCTCATTGCTGGAATGGGGTCCAGAAGAACAGTATGGGGATGGGCGGACACATAACCCTGAAACACACAAACATATACTTTAGTATGATAAAGTATAATGTTGTTACCGCTGTTGTAATCCATTAAATGGGCCATTTTACCATACCTGGAAGTTGTCGAGGAGCTGTTGCGATTGGCTGTCGTACTCTGCCTCGACAATGACATCAGAGAGCTTGTGTACAATGACCTCAAAGGGTCCTTGAGACTCCAATGGCTGACTGAGAGCTATCTGTATCAGGAGAGAAAAGGAAGTGTGAATGAAATATCCTCTGCTTCAGGCACAAATTGATATGTAGACATTCAAATGTAATGCTATGACATGCACTTGTGAGGCAAACGCTACAGCTATTGTTCCCCTCTGTTTGAGAGGAGCTCCAAGCAGGTGACTTCAACTGGCATAACTTGTTTCCTAACTACACTATAAAGCAATTACCAATGTATCACTCACATGCCTACAGATTGTATTTTTGCAACCTTATAATGACACTATTCTCATGTATTCCATCACAAACCTTAGAGAATAATGCAATGTAATGGAAATTGACTTACCTCAACCATCTCAACACCGTGGCTCCCGTCCAGAGGGAGTTCAATGTTGAATGAAAATGTTAAGTGACAATTTATGACAGTTACACCGAGGAGAACACAAATGAGTAAGGCTGCAGGAGAAGCTCCATTGTAGCCTACAGTAGACATTTGGGCAGAGGAGCAATGCCTAGGCTGGTTGGACAAAGGGTAGGCAATACTGATGACTTGGGGGCGTGAGAGAGAGAGAGAGAGAGAGAGAGAGAGAGAGAGAGAGAGAGAGATACCTCTTCTTTACGAAATGGGAATAGGCATAGATTTTCATATACTGTAGGGCAGTGGTTCCCAAACTGTGGGGCGTGTCCCCTAGGTGGTGCGCTACTCGGTCCGGCTTTCAACTTACTCTTGAAAGTTGTAAAAGTAGAATGCACAAGGAGCAATTTCGAAATTGAGTAGTGCATAGTCAGTTTTCCTCTTGTAATGTCAGTCATTGCATACCTTAGAGAGCTATTTATAACTTGTCAGAAATGTCCAGATCAACTACCCCATGTCAGCTAACGTTTTTTAGCTAGGTATTTTAGCCCATAGATTTTGTTGTATGGTTTGAGTCACTCAAATATCACATGAATACACATTAGACATGGCAAAATGTATAGAATTTCAAGACAATTTGCTTTAAACCTGCGAAATGTTCTCTCCAACAACAAGAGCAGTGTGAACAGTTTGTGTCATGAACAGTGCTTGTACCCATAGAAATATACGTGGCGCGCTCGCGCGCGGAGGGGGGAGGGGGGGGGGGGGGGGTGTTCCCCAATGCTGGAAGAGGGGCCTGAGTGAAAAAGTTTTTCCTCTAAAAAAAGTGGTATAACATACAGATTTATTTTGCCAGTAGGCCTATATCCTTCCACAGACAACTTCCTTATTGCGATCAAATTATAGCCAACCTTACCAGTGTGTTGTTAACAACATTAGCGTGAGCAACAATAGTGGAATCGGCGATTGACCTTCAGAATAAAAGTTCCCCATTGAAACTGATGCGAACGGATCCAAATGTTGGAATTATTCCACAACTGGACTAGATAATGCTAAACAAAGTTGGAATGTTGATATAGAAATTCAACAAAACATAAGAATTAGTTAATTTGACACAAAAAACGTTATAAATCTGTTGAAATCACAATGCGGATGTAAATTATTGTACTTCCGAATTGCATTGGGGCATACTTACATTGCAATGTACAGACTCACCTATGGATCTTGGGTCCATGAAATGAGGTATCAGCCTACTCAGTGACACTCACAGAATACAACTATGTAGAGTGTATACAAACATTATCATCATTGCTCTTATTGAAGGAATTTAAAGGAAACTCCACCCAAAAACTATATTTTGGTATTTGTTTAATTGGTCTATTGTTGATATAGTCCCAAACAGTTTTCCATTTCAGCAATCAAGTTTTCAAGATATATAACTTTCAAAATACAGAAATACAGCCAGTATGATGCATTTTGCATCATATGATGCTGCGTTTTGCATCATATGGACTGGCATAGCTGTTCTGTGAGTGTCATTGAGTAGGCTGATACCCAATTTCATGGACACAAGATCCATAGATAAGGCAATTCTGAAGTCTAATACATCCACAGTGCAATTTCAACCGAATGTTTACTTTTTTTGTGTAAAATTAACTCATTATTATATTTAGTTGAATTTGTATAGCAACATTCCAACCTTGTTTAGCATTATAGTCCAATTGTGGCATGATTCAGTTTCAATTTTGGAACCTTTATTTTGAAGGCAAACCACCGATTCCACTATTGTTGCTCACGCTAATGTTGTTCACAGCTCATATGTGCCAGCCTTCTCATGGTTCATTGAAAAAAGAAAGAGAAAGTAAAACTCCACGGGAAGCTCAACAAACACCATTTTCATCGTCTTCTCTCTATTGTAGAGTGATCTTCTTGTTTTACTGCAACTGAAAAAAAACGGTGAATATAGTCCTATAAGGCTATTAGGCTACTGCAGAAAAGGTAACAGGTAACTCGCCGAAAGTTCACTTTAGGTGAGCATCATTTGACGCAAAGCAATGTCCCGTGGTTCGAATGCTGGATTTGACCGACACATTACGATTTTTTCTCCTGAGGGCCGCCTCTATCAAGTCGGTGAGATATTTTGCTTCATTCCTCCAGTTTTGTTTCATGCAGGGGACGAACTAGGCTAATCTAGCCTCTGTATATGTATCGTTCTATATCATCTCAAATGTAAAATAATCGCGCTGTGAATGTGTTACGCTGTAGCTGTATCTGATGATGAGCATCCCCATATGCCAAAAGTGTAGTATATTGTGATTGTTAACGTATTGTGATTATGTATTTCACATAGAATATGTGGGTTGGGAGGGGGGGGGGGGGGGGGGGGGGGGGGTTAAAAGTTAGCCTATATTTAAGAAGTATAATCTCATGTTCTTATGTGTTGTCCCTCAGAGTATGCCTTCAAAGCAATCGCCCAGGGTGGGTTGACATCACTGGGCGTGCGGGGGACAGACTGTGCTGTGGTGGTCACACAGAAGAAAGTGCCGGTAAGATATTCAGCTTCGGTCCTTAGCTACATCTCCATGTACCAGGAGCTTCTGTCTTAGTTTTCTTTGACTTCATCCAAATTAGAAAAATAATGTTGATATCTGGCTTTAGAGAAAGAGTCAGTCATGAACAGTGAAGCATGACAGAGTGGTGTCTCAAGCATTTCTGCTGACAGGGCACACGCCACTGATTTGTTAAAGCTTGTCCAAGGAAAGCTTATATTGTGGAACCAATATTCCTAACAACAATGAGGTATCATCTACTATATGTATATATGTGACCCTGTCATTATAACACAGGACAAGCTGCTGGATTCTGCCACTCTGACCAACATGTACCCACTTACCCCACGCATTGGATGTGTGATGACAGGACACAATGGTGTGTATAATGGCACAGACGACATCTCACATCACACACACACACACACACACACATCCTTTTACTCTCTCTTCCTCTCCCCCTCAGCGGACAGTCGATCCCAGGTCCACAGGGCACGAGTGGAGGCCGCCGAATGGAAGTACAAGTTTGGCTATGACATCACAGCAGACATGTTGTGTCGGAGAATGGCGGACATCTCCCAGGTCTACACACAGAACGCTGAGATGAGACCTTTGGGATGCTGTGAGTGGTGTACCCCTGTCCTCCTGTCACCATGTCTCTCTGTCCTCTTCCTCTCCATTGATTCACTCCCTCTCTCCCTTACCATTAATCCACTGTCTACCTCCTTTCTTTCAATACCTCTCACTCTATACACCCTTTTTTCCTCTCCCTGATTGCCCAGTAATACCGTTTTTTTCAATCACTTTGCCGCATTTTTCAAATGTAAGTGGTATATTTACAAAACTCTAAACTGATAACACATGTAATGCCCTCCTATCTTAGGTTCAGAACCTTTGATTGTGCATTCATTGGGGTTTCACACAACTTTCACCCATGAGTATTTCATGCAGAATCAAAGTTTTATGTGAAATACCCTGAGAACATTTTGTTTAGTCACCAATACATCAGATAATGATAGGCTCACCATTTAGTAATTTTAACTACCATTTATTCCAATAGAAAAAAATACAAGATAAACATTTCAAAATGTGTATTTCTGAAGTGTCAATAGAAAGAGTAGTAGATGGTGAATATCATTTTCCATACAGTATTTGACTATAACTTGACATGCACAATTATTTTATCATTTGTATCCAATGGCAGGTTGTGAGCATGTTGAGAAATATGTCAGTCTTACGGTTCCATTATCTTTTTACAGTACATTAGTAGGACAAAAAATCGGGGTATTGTAAAACAGTTGGCTACTGCAAAAACATAGCACAGTGTTGGAAGCCATTTCTGCCCCATGCAACATTGTACAAGATCACCTTTTCTACGTGACTTGTCAACTGAAACAGTATCGCCTGTCTCTCTGCTTGAAATTCATCATCTAACAGTGTATCAATAAAATTCAGATAATGAGTGGAATATATTGTTTGATAAACCGGGTGGTTCGAGCCCTGAATGGTGATTGGCTGAAAGCTGTGGTATATCAGACCGTATACCATGGGTATGACAAAAAAGTACTATTTACTGGTCTAATTACGTTGGTAACCAGTTTATAATAGCAATAAGGCACCTCAGGGGTTTGTGGTATATGGCCAATATACCCTGGCTAATGATTGTATCCAGGCACTTCGCGTTGCGTCGTGCGTAAGAACAGCCCTTAGCTGTGGTATATTGGCCATATACCCCATCTCCTCGGGCATTATTGCTTAAATATACAGTGGGGAGAACAAGTATTTGATACAGGAAAATATATAATTTAATCAATTTTAGAATAAGGCTGTAACGTAACAAAATGTGGAAAAAGGGAAGGGGTCTGAATACTTTCTGAATGCACCGCACATTACCTAGGCACTACATCATTTTGGTTCAGTAGTTATCCGTTTTGAGCAGTTTGATTAAGAAATAGTTAATTGTATTTTTAACAAATGACAAGAAAATCATAAAAAAAGTAATGTGAATATTGCATTTTGAAACGCAGATACTTATACTGAACCAAAATATAAACGGAAAATGCAACAATTTCAAAATCTTACTGAGTTACAGTTCATATAAGGAAATCAGTCAATTGAAATCAATTTGTTAGGCCCTAATCTATGGATTTCATATGACTGGGAACACAGATATGCATCTGTTGGTCACAGACGCCTTAAAAATACAGGTAGGGGCATGGATCAGAAAACCTGTCAGTATCTGGTGTGACCATCATTTGCCTCATGCAGTGCGACACATCTCCTTCGCATAGAGTTGATCAGGCTGTTGATTGTGGCCTGTGGAATGTTGTCCCACTCCTCTTCAATGGGTGTGCGAAGTTGCTGGATATTGGCGGGAACTGGAACATGCTGTCATACACGTCAATCCAGAGCATCCCAAACATTCCCAATGGGTGACATGTCTGGTGAGTATGCAGGCCATGGAAGAACTGGGACATTTTCAGCTTCCAGGAATTGTGTACAGATCCTTGCATCATGGGGCCGTGCATTATCTTGCTGACACATGAGGTCAGGGCGGCAGATAAATGGCACGACAATGGGCTTCAGGATTTCGTCACAGTATGTCTGTGCATTCAAATTGGCATCGATAAAATGCAATTGTGTTCGTTGTCCGTAGCTTATACCTGACCATACCATAACCCCACTGCCAGCATGGGGCACTCTGTTCACAACATTGACATCAGCAAACCGCTCGCCCACATGACGCCATACACGTAGTCTGCGGTTGTGAGGCTGGTTGGACGTACTGCCAAATTCCCTAAAACAACGTTGGAGGCGGCTTATGGTAGAGAAATGAACATTACATTCTCTGGCAACAGCTCTGGTGGACATTCCTGCAGTCAGCATGCCAATTGCATGCTCCCTAAAAACTTGAGACATCTGTATTATTGTGTTGTCAGACAAAACTGCACATTTTAGAGTGGCCTTTTATTATCGCCAGCACAAGGTGCACCTGTGTAATAATCATGCTGTTTAATCAGCTTCTTAATATGCCACACCTGTCAGGTGAATGGATTATCTTGGCAAAAGAGAAATGCTCTCTAACAGGGATGTAAACAAATTTGTTCACAAAATTTGAGAGAAATAAGCTTTTTTGTATGGAACATTTCTGGGATCTTTTATTTCAGCTCATGAAACAAGTGATCAACATTTTACATGTTGTGTTTATATTTTTGTTTTGTAGATAGAATATGTATCCAAATTGAAAGAGTGATTTGGTGCAGTGAACAAAAGACTGTGAATTTATTAGTTGCACTCAGTCAACTGAAAATGTGCTTAGAGTTTTGACACATTAGCCATTTTGATGATCTGTTTAGATTTTTGTGCTTAGAGTTGTGAAAATGGCACTAAAGTGATTGAACAACTCTGTAAGTGCAGTAGGTGAGTCCTAACTCCCACACAGAGGACTCAGACCCAAAACCTTCTCCTCCCCATGTCTCCAGGTATGATCTTGGTGGCCATGGACCCCCAGATGGGTCCCATGCTGTATAAGTGTGACCCGGCAGGCTACTTCTGTGGCTTCAGGGCCACCAGCGTGGGGGCCAAGCAGACAGAGGCTAACAGCTACCTGGAGAAGAAACTGAAGAAGAGGCCGAAGCTGTCATATGAGATGACTGTGGAGGTAGGGGGATGGATACACCTGGATACTCATGGAAACATCTGGCGAAAAGTGAAAGTCTGTACAGGATTCAATCTCTCTCTCTCTCTCTCTCTCTCTCTCCATTTCTTTCCCACTCTCCTCCTATAGTTGGCCATCTCCTGTCTCTCTTCTATTCTGTCCATGGACTTCAAGCCCAGTGAAATTGAAGTGGGTGTAGTCACTAAGGAAAGCCCCAAGTTCAGGTACTATACTATCACAGTAACTGCATTTCGTCATCACTGTGTTTTTCTATATGCTCAAATGGTAATGATCAAGGATTTAGACAAGGGAACAACAGCCAAATGATCAATAGTCAATTCATTTTTCCTTCTCTCTTTCTCTCTCCCCAACAATGTTTCTAACATCCACTCTCATCTTCACCCTCACAGGACCCTCTCTGAGACAGAGATCGACACCCACCTGGTGGCCATTGCTGAGCGGGAATAGATGAGCAGCCATCCACATACAGTACATCAGGCGTCAGGCTGACTAACTAACAGACTAACCTAGTGGTTCAGTAATAGGACATCAATACTACTTCAGACTGCTTTTGCAGACGGGCCCATCTTATACAATACTATGATATTTTTCTACTTTCCAACTATTTTCATCCTCACTGGTTGATTTTCACCTTCAGTCTGCATATCAAAGCTTCTAGGACATACAGCCAGGCTGTAACTAGAATGCCCATGTTGTTGGATTGGTTTGATCATGTGGATTGTTTCATCCATCATATTTATTGTCTGTATCTCATTGATCCCCATTGTTTATGACCACCAAATGGGTTTTAGCTGCCTGTGTCCAGAGCATTACTCATGTCATCTATCAACTGCCACAGAAACACTGTCTAACAGAATAAAACACATAAAATAAAACAAAAGAGCACTAATATCCCTTTTTTATTCTGATATGCTTAGATGTTTTCTGTAGAGTCACAAAATAGACAGTGGTGCTTAACCTTTCGTATTTGTTTCATTCGATACATGTAACTAGAGTCCTGGGTCCATATTCACAAAGCGTCAGAAAAGGTCCTAGGAATCCTGTTAAAACGTCTTTTAAGACAAAACAACTCCCAGCTCAGAGTAGGTTTTAGGATGATGTTAAGACACTGCTCAGACAATCTCTGAGCCAGGAGTAAAATCAATTCATAAAAGTTTATCTCAGCTTGTAATCACGACAGTTTGAGGTACCGCAAAGGAAAGATAGTGATGACGCTCATTGACATTGTTGCATATGATGGGGAATAACCATTGGTGGTGAGGCATCGTCAGCTGTGAACTCTATAGCATACTTCAGACAACCATCAAATGTTGCAATGGTAAAACGTTTGATATAATTTTCGCCTGATACGATCACTCTTCCTTCTCTTAATTCTTGCCTTAATAGCATCCCTAACCTTTTTTTATTTGTTTTACCAATTCTGATGGTTGTTAAAAGCGGAATTTTGATAATATTACTGTTAAATCAACACACTCGTCACTCCCGTTTAACAACTCCTAATCGCTTTGGTACAGTAGGCATTGTGGTATCGCGTCGAATGCTGGTGGGTATTGCTGTCAATCAAAGAATCCACTTAGGCTGCACCGTGTTTTAGAGGCTTTTATTAATATCATGAGGTTACAGCATAAGTTACAGACCCGCAGTGTCTGGAGAAGTCCCGTCCCAATTTAATCTGAATGCTTCTGACTCTTCTTCGTTTTTCCCCCAGTATATATAAACTCCCCAAGATGTGGGTGGCTCCCTCTACTGTCCAATCCCCTGTCTACAACACACTTCCTGTCTGTTGTATGTGGCATTACACAAAAACATTCCCTCTTGATACTAAAATGAACATTCTTTCAGTTCCACTTAAAAACATTTAACAAAGGCATAATCCTAATACACGACATATCCCCCCTTCGAGACGAACTAAAAGTCTCGAAAACAAACAGAATAGGATTATGACAAGTGACAATTTATCTTATTGAGTATCTTTAACATTAAACCAAAAACATTCTCCTCTAAAGTGTATATACCTTTCTATTAAATATGACTAACTGTTTATGAAGTGTGAATACATTACTATGAAATATGAACAAATCTTTATGGAGTGTAAGAGCGAAAAACTGTCCGGCAACTTTCGTTCCAAATCCATCCATCAATCAAGACAGTAAAATTCTCTCACGGTCCCTCTGCCCCAGGCAACCACCTCGGTACTCCCGATAAACTCATAAACAATGTAAATGCATTTGAAACTATGATGCAATTAAATACACATGTAAGCCCCTGCAAACAAAATCCTATCCAAAAAATATCCACTCTAAGGCTGGTCAACCCATTGGACCCTACAGTGGACCTCTCCCTGCCTAGACTCCCTGTCCCTAAGCATCACCGAAATAAACAAAAACATCTAAGATCCTCACATGTATTCAATAACATCAAATATCCTTCTACAAAAATTAATCCCTAAGGCTATGACACAAATTATGTATTACACATGTCTATATTTCATTGCAGACACTGGAATGTAGTCCACTACACTTCATCTCCCCGTAGTCTCGACTTCCAATTAATTGTTGATGATGGAATCGGCCACACCCTCCTTGTTTCATCTCCTCCAGTCATATTGTCCCTGTTTGAGTATTTCAATCTCCACATGTTCCCCCAAATGCTTCTGGAAGAAAAGGAAAGACCAAACAGTATCTTTTGCAAAACAACACTTTCAAATTAAACATCAATATCAACTAAGAATATAAAAATGCTATATAAATGATATCAACTAAGAATATAAAAATGATATATAAATGATATCAACTAAGAATATAAAAATGATATATAAATGATGTATGAATCACATTATCCTCTTCCCCCCTTTGATTCATAAAATCATACCAAAATCACACTAATATTGAAAAAATTTTTTTTTTTTAAATGATCAAATTATCAAAAATGATATTTATCCATTCAGTTCCACTTGTCCATCTTCATCCAGATCAGGAACAGTCAACACCGGCATCTGAGTGTTGTCTCCAGGCATCACTCTCCAACCTATCTCAATATCATAGCTTTCTCAAAGGTCAGTAACAAATTACAAACATCACACAGTGTTATCAAAGCTGCCATTAAAATCTGAACCATCACTGCCCCTACTGGGCCTACCTGATCTTGCAACCAAGTCTTCTCAGATCTCCCAAACGCATCCCTTATATTCTTCAATGCATATATAACCCTAGTGATAATATCTGAACTATCTGGACTCAAAGTATACCTAATATTATCAATATGATCTTCCCAAATGTTACACCATACCATGGAAAAAGTCCCCCCTTCTCCCTTAGATTTATCCTTCAATGATAGGCTTGAAGACTATAACATGTCTCCATGTCACCCTTTTAACTCTAGATTTAGCTGTGTCCGGTGCTACCCCTCTTATAATGGTAGAAACCTCATATGGAAGCTTCAACGTTGACATGTAACAACATCCTGTCCATCCATAGGGTAAGAATATATACGCTTTATCACCACAAACCCTCCAAATATCTCTAAAATTCCCAATAGTCACATTGTCAGGCAAAAGCTAATATTTTAACCATCAAAGTCCTGCTGTTCCTACTACCTGGTACATAAAAAGTTACATTATATTTGTCATTACTACCCTTAAGGTCATGCATACCCAAAGTTGTCATATAACATCACAATCTGATATTCCCACAAACATACCCCTTACCTCCTATGTTTTATTAGAACAAAACAACTTTTAGCCCTCAATGGTTACACCTCAAATGCTTCAGGGTTTGCTGTTACCTGAGTTTCCTTCCCATCTAACAAATGCACACAAGTTAATTCGCTTAACCCAATACCACCTAACCCTAGGCTTAAACAAATGTTTTGACAACGACATTTTTTATCTGTTACTGATTGTTGTTGCTGATACAACAGTCATGACAAAACATAAGATTGACACATACTTGATAGAGGTCGAGCCCCACGTGTCTGGTGCTGGAATTCTCAACAGACATGGACCCTCAAGATTCCTCACTGATCTTACAGAATGAGTTAACTGCTGGAACCAAAGATTCCTACCTGCCATCTATCTCTAATTTTCACAACAGAAGAATCAAACCACTCCATTTAGTTTCTCTCTTCCCTAACGAGCGGTACTGCAGATACCTCTCCTTGTCTGTCATTAAAATCAAAGACCTCATCCTGTACCTCCATGATAGTATCACTATTTCAGATGAATCTATATTGTTCTCTACTACTATCTGCTCTCCTATTTTAACCCTATTCATACTATCATTGACAGCACTCTCCATCCGTAACATAAACCCCTGAGTCCTTCTTGCTACCCCCTTTAATTTCAGAAAAGTTGTTGTCGGTGTCATACTTCCTACATTTGCTATTGCCATCGTATCATTAATCCCTTCCAAAGTTACTATTAAAGCAGTTGATCTAGTTGATGTATTAACACTCTTAACTACTTCTAGTGCGAAAGCTACCGATATCCTATGTGTATTATTTACTGTTGGAGTGTCTACTGTAATAATATACTTCTCCTGACCTCCTTTGGTGACTGCGGAAGCTTCAACAGACTTCAAATCTTCCATTATAAGCGTCACTTTACGAATTACATAGCCTTTTAACCAATAATTCTTAACCGGAACAAATTTTAATGCTTGCACTAGATAAGTACACATATATTCTCCCTGATCTTTCTCTGTAACATTATGCAAAATAAGTGAACAGTCACTCATACCCCTCTTCCACTTCATATCGTTGTACAAACTATACCTCCTTTGATTAGGTGCAACAGCTTGCTTCTACTTCTGGTCCTGATAACAATACTTCTTCTCCATAATTATCTCTCCATGTGGGAGGAACGTCCCCATCCTAACCCTAATAAGTATTTTTCCTCTAAAATTGGTGCTGGAGCTATTGGTTCCCTTATAATCAAATGCGATATATTTATGGCTTTAATAACTATCAATGTTGAAAGAGTTAAATTGCTTCTCACTGTTGTTTTAATAGACTTAAGTGTTAATGTCCTTGTTGTTACCTCATCCATTTTCCCCAAAGCTTTGAACTCTTTGCTTGTACTTCCATCTATCACCACTAGTGTCACTTTTTCCCAACTCTCAGTCCTAACTTTCAAACTTTTGATTATAAAATAATACACCAACAATTACCTTGATCTTCCTGCTGGGGATTGTAAATATAGATACTCAATCACCCTCAATCTTCTCTTATTATTCAGCAACACATACTTTCTCAATGCATCTGCTCCTAACAGATCTAAACTCCTACCATGTCTTCCCACTAAACTCTAAAATGTCCTTCACCACTGTTCTCTCTCTCTTACTACTAACTTTGAAACTTAGCTTACTGTCTTAGAGTCCCTTCAATTTAGTTCTCCTAACTTATTTTAATCTAATCTTTTCCTCCTAACCTTTAAAAACCTTTTCCACTGATTTATTCACAAAATCCCTTTACCACCAATTTTTAGAATATGTGATTGGGAAAGTCCCCACCTGCTTCTGACTTCTTTACACACAGACTTGGCAAACGACTAAACACCTTTTAGCCTAGTCTGAAATCTCTTGGTGTAAGAATGTAACCCAGAATAACAGTCACCCCTTTTAACTTTATTTTTCAGACAGATTGTCTAATAGGCAGTCTAATAGATTATCATCCTTCCTATGATATTATATTTTTAAGCAAATATGATTCCCAAAAACCCTACTTTTTAAAATCTTCTACCAGACAGCCATTTAGTGTACATCTTATTGTACAATTCAATTCAAACAATGCATCTCTTCCCAACACTGCAATAGGTATATGTTAGGGAATGGCCGGCAGGGGATGTAGCTCAGTTGGTAGAGCATGGCGTTTGCAACGCCAGGGTTGT